TCTTCCCTGAGATATCAGTTCCTGGAGCGGCCTTCCTTGACATCTTAGTTTCCCAGGGCTGCTCTCACCACAGACTGGATGGCGTAAACGACAGAAATGTAGTCTTTGACAGTTCTGGAGCCAGAAATCCAAAATCAAGGTACCTGCAGGGCCATGCTCTCTCGCTCTGCAAGCTCTGAGAAAGAATCTGGTTGTTCCCATAAATGCTTAATGTTCCTTGCTTTACAGATGCGTCATTTCAATCACTGCCTCCACTGTCATCTGGCGTTCCCACTATGTGTCTGTGACCCTTCTCTTCTTAAAAAGACAACCAGTCATACTGGATTAGGGCCCACTCTAGTTCACCATGACCTCATGTTAACTTGATTACTTCTGTGAAGAGCCTATTTCGAAATAGGTGCCAGGACTTGCAGATATCTTTTTGGGAGACACACTTCAGTGCATAAAATCATTCTATATCCTATAGATGGAGAACTGTTATTTGCTCTATCACCTGGGCCTGTTTTCTTCGCCCCATGGCATTTTCACTATCTGAAACTATGCCGCAAAAGATAGTGGCAGCTAAATTAGAATCTCCCTATCCATTCTCCTTAAAACTGTAAATGAGCAAGGAGAGAAAAACACTCGTTGCTCATGTCTACACCACATCTAGAAGGCAGAGAAAGAAAAAAGTGGCTAAAAAAACATCATAAAGACCCAGCGGACGCAAGAGAGCACCCTAGCAATCGATGACAGAAGAAAAAGGGTGTCCTTGATTAAAGAAACTGCCCTTCACTCTAGCAACAGAAGAGGGAGCAGTTGATCTGCACAACCAATAGGCCGCTCAGCCCCTCTTCTCCATCACATTGTCTCCTATTGCCAGTCCAGGGAAACGCAACAGAAATAAGCAAGGACAATCACAAAGCAGAAAAGGAGAGCCTCACTTTCTGGCAGATGGAGCCACTTTGGAAAACAGTTTCATGAGTCCTCAAAAAATTAAATATATTATTACCATGACCCAGCAATTCCACTCCTAGGTATACCCAAGACAAATGAAAACATGTCCCCACAGAAACTTGGATGTCAATGTTCCTAGCAGTATTACTCTGTAAGAGCCAAAAGGTGGAGGCCAGGCATGGTGGCCCATGCCCATAATCCCAGCACTTTGGGAGGCTGAGATGGGCAGGTCGCAAGGTCAGGAGTTTGAGACCAGCCTGGCCAATATGGTGAAACCCCATCTCTACTAAGAAATAAAAAAAAAATAGCTGGGCATGGTGACGTGTGCCTGTAGTCCCAGCTACTCAGGAGGCTGAGGCAGGAGAATCGCTAGAACCTGGGAGGCGGAGGTTGCAGTGAGCCAAGAGACAAGATAGTCCCATTGCACTCCAGCCTGGGCAACAGAGGGAGACTCCGTCTCAAATTAAAAAAAAAAAAAAGTCAAAAGGTGGAAGCCACTCAAACGCCCATCAGCTGATGAACAGAATAACGTGTCATCATGTATATCTATACAACAGGAGACTATTTGGCGGTAAATAGGAATGAAATAGTGATTGATACTCTAACATGGATTAACTTTGAAAACATCGCTGGGGTTCTGAAGCTGATGCCCCAAAATATGATGCTTTGTACATGCTGAACTGAAAATGGAGTTTCAAGGTCTCTCCCCTCCCTCCTGCCCCAAAGCAGAGGCTTCTCTGACATTCCCTTGTCTGCCTAAAGTCTGGGCCTACCAAAGAAGAAACAGTCACCTCCAGTCCCTTCCCTGAGTTTGCATTAACTGCACCCATGTCTCAGGAATGAAAACTGAAGTCTGTTAATACACCTGTACAGACTTCTGTCACAAACCACTGTCTGCTCTGCGGGCCCAACAGACTTTGCCACAGACGATGATGCGTTCTCCAAGTGCTTTGAATCTTCTCCAGTCATTTATTGCCTCTCCACAGAATCCCTCTTCTCCCGCTCCCGTAACCTGTTCTGCCCAGATCCAAGCCCCCATTCTTCCTATAGACAAGCCTCTTCCCCCATTTCGGGGCTTGGGTCTTCATTCTGAAAGCTCTCTTGTCACCTAAAACTATGACTGAATAAATTTTTGTACCTTTTCTCCAATTAATCTGTTCTTTGAGAGTTTACTTTTCAGCAAAACTTCAGAGGCAAATGGAAAAATTTCTCCTTTGCCCCTAAGCAAAAGAAGCCAGTTACCAAGGACCACATTTTGTCTGATGCCTCTGATAGGAAAGATCCAGAATGGGCAAACCATGGGGACAAAGGAGGTTGGAGGTTTCCAGGGCCCGGGCTGGAGGGGCAATGAGGATGACTGCTCATGGATATGGAGTTTATTTTAGGGGATGAAAATGTTCTGCAATTAGATAGTGGTGAAGGTTGCACAATTCTGTGAATACACTAAAAATCACTGGATAGTATACTTTAAAAGGCTGAATTTTATATGTGAATTGTATCACACTTTTTTAATGTGTGAGAAAAAAACACTGAAAAAATGTTTTAAAAAAACAAGGCCAGGCACAGTGGCTCACACCTGTAATCCCAGCACTTTGGGAGGCTGAGGCGGGCGAATCATGAGGCCAGGAGCTTGAGATCAGCCTGACCAACAGGTAATCTACTAAAAATACAAAAATTAGCCAGCCATGGTGGTGCATGCCTATAATCCCAGCTACTCAGGAGGCTAAGGCAGGAGAATCACCTGAACCCTAGGGGTGGAGGTTGCAGTGAGCCAAGATCACGCCACTGCACTCCCATCCTGGGCGACAGAAGGAGACTCCATCTCAAAAACAAACAAACAAAAAACCTCTGGCAGATCAAAACCTGGTGTGGTGGCTTACACATGTAATTGCAGCTACTTGAGAGACTGAGTGGGAGGATCATTTGAATACAAGAGTTTGAGACCAGCCTTGGCAACAAAGCAAGACCCCATTTCAAAAACAAAAATAGGCCGAGGGTGATGGCTCACACCTGTAATCCCAGCATTTTGGGAGGTCGAGGCTAGTGGATCACTTGGGCTCAGGAGTTCGAGACCAGTCTGGCCAACATGGTGAAAATACAAACATAAGCTGGGCGTGGTAGTGGGTGCCTGTAGTCTCAGCTACTAGGGAGTCTGAGGCAGGAGAATCACTTGAACCCAGAGGCAGAGGTTATAGTGAGCCAAGGCAACATTGCCCAGCCTGGGCAACAGAGAGAGACTCTGTCTCAAAACAAACAACAAATACAAACCCCTCGAACAAATCCGGCTGCTGTGCCAGTTATAGGCTGTGGCCTGTCAATTTTAAACTGGCCTTCTTTCACTGTGCTGTGGTACTCATCCTGCATTCTGGATGTGGGGCAGGGGAAAATAGCTATGTTGTAATGTCTGTAATGAGATAAACGCTTATCTAGTGGGTCAAGTACGCATATATAAAGACACTATATAAATTTATATAACGGAAAAAAATTAATTACTTAATGCCTAACTTTAGTCGAATCATGACTTCCCCACTGGCTGGAATCTGTGCAGAACGTGGCCCTGGAAGCATGTTTAATGTCATGGGAAGTTGTTAAAGATGTGGAGAATCATGGGTTCATTAGCCACATAGTCAGTGTGGTTCCACACCAGAAAAAATGATGTAAAACAAGATTCAAAGCCAATACACCAAAATATTAACTGTGCTACCTGGGGTGGGAAGTAGATTTGCAAACTGTAATTGTCCTTGTTTATGCTTTTACTCAATTGACGTGTAATATTTTGAAATTAGAAAATGTAACTTAAATAAAGACAAAGTAAAAGTAAACGTTCCATGTTATGTCTTCAGGATGAAGAGCTGGAGTCGGGAAGGACCTGGTGTGGAGGACAGAGCTCAGTGGGAGGGCCGGCTCCCCACGGGCTCCTTCCAGGGCCTCTACGAGGGACTCTTCTGACTCTGCCAGGCAGCCGCCTCTAGCCCCAGCTCTCACTACAGGACCTCTAGGTAAGGAAATGGCTTTACACACACACATACGCTTTCTCTCATACTCACATGAGTTGCTCACACACACACACATACTTGGTCTCACACACACTTTCACACACATATACATACTTCCTCACACACTCTTATACACACACACACACATATACTTCCTCTCATGCTCACACACGTTCATACTCAATTCTCACAACTCTTTCACACACTTTCACACAGTCCTACGACTCTCACTCACACATTTATACACACACACACTCACTTTCTCCCACACTCAGGCTCCACCCCCAAAGGTGGTTTCCACTAGTTTTTCAGTGGGGCCTAAAGCAGAGTAAAGTTCCTTTCCCACACACACAGTTGCAGTGAGGCCCAAGGGTGCTGTTTCCTGGGATTACTTCAGGAGGAGGGAATGGAATTGCATTGAACCCTTGGTTCTTGCTATGCTTTGAGTGTTTGTCTCCTCCAAAACTCAGGTTGAAACTTAATCCCTGCTATGGCAGTATTGAGAGGTGGGGCCTTTAACAGGTGATTGGGGGCTGGGTGCCAGTGGCTCGGGCCTGTAATCCAGTACTTTGGGAGGCCAAGGCAGGTGGATGACCTGAAGTCGGGAGTTCAAGACCAGCCTGGCCAACATGGTGAAACTCATGTCTACTAAAAATACAAAAATTAGCTGGGTGTGGTGGCACATGCCTGTAATCCCAGTACTTGGGAGGCTGAGGCATGAGATTTGATTAAACCTGGGAGGCAGTGGTTGCAGTGAGCCGAGATCACGCCACTGCACACCAGCCTGGGCAACAGAGTAAGACTCTATCTCAAAAAAAAAACCCAAAAAACAAAAAACCAAGTGATTGGGTCATGAGGGTTCTGCCTTTGTGAATGGATTAACCCATTCATGAACTAATAGACTAATGGGTTAATGGTTTAATGTGTTATCACAGAGTGGGTCTGGTGGCTTTGTAAGAAAAGGAAGAGATGTGACTCAGCATGCTCAGCCCCCTTGCCCTGTGTGCCCGGCAACCACCTCAGGACTCTGCAGAGAGTCCCCACCAGCAAGAAGCCCTCACCAGATGCAGCCGCTCGACCATGGACTTCCCAGCCTCCAGAACTGTAAGAAACAAATCTCATTACTTAGCAATTACTGGGTTTTAAATATTCTATTATATACAACAGAAAATGGACAGAGACAGTTCTTAAGGAAATGCCCATCACGTCCGAGGCTTATCCAGAGGTGATCCTTATCTGGTTTCCCAGGAGGCTCCTGGAGGAAGGGAATGGACAGTGTCTACCACCCCATTCATTGGATGCAGGGCCCAAAGGGAGGACCCATGGAGTGTTTTCCAGCAGCTCCCTTAAAAGGATCCTGGATCCTGGAGAGAGGTGATTGAATTACTTCCCCAGTGCATCTTATTTGTTAATGACATGCTTATTTCAATGATCCATGTCATCCCTGTCCCTATTAACATAAATAGTGAGGCACTAGCTGTACGTGCAGTGGCTGTCTGGAGCAGCAAAGAGCCAGTCCCACTGTGTGTCTGTCCTGTCAAAAGCATGTTGTCTGTGCTTAAAAATGACACTCCAGCCTGTCCCTGCAATCCCCATGTGCTTTCATCACGAGTCAGAACTTCAAGATGCTATTCATTCTGAAGCCATGTCAGCTCAGCTGTTAAGATAAGAGAGTTTGTTGCATCTTGTATTTATGATAAACTGGAGTGACATGCAGATTTTGAATATCTTATTCTGGAGCCATTTTAAGCTAGGCTAAATGCAGGCTGTCAAATTCACCTGCAAGGCAGGGTCCACGTTAGGGGCTGGGCATGGAAGGGAGACAGCAGCAGTGTGGTTGGCAGGCAGGGGAGATGGAAGGTAAGCAACAGAGAAAGGTGCTGGGGTTCCCAAACAGGGTTCTAGAGGCAAGTCTGCTCTGCCTAGACATGAACGGCTCTGGGGCAGGATGCCTGGAGGGTCTTGCCCAGAACAGTGGACCCAGCGCTGATTCCCAGGGATCTACGGAATCCCTGAGGGGTGGGGAAAGTTGACTCACAAGTTGATTCAGGCCTTTGGAGGACTAGGTATTTGTGATCACAGGACGCCTTGGAAATTGAATATGTTTTCGACTTACAATACAACCAGTTAAGAGGTTCTGGACTAGGGGTTGGTAACTCATTCAGGGCACTGCTGTCACTTCTGGGATGAGAAAAGCCAAACCATTTTACACACTGAAGCGGATATGTGGGGCCTGAGGTTTATGCTACCCGGAGCTCTCTTTAAAGAAAAAGAAAACAAAAATTGGGGTATAGAATTGCTTGGGTCCCTCCAAGGAACCTACACAAAGGGCTTGTAGTGAGGGGTCCCAGTATCCCAGGCACAGAGGACCCTCAGCCATCCAGGGCCTCATGCCTGGGGAAAGTTAAAAGGTGAAGCCTGGTAATATAATAAGAAACATATATTTGGTCTTTGTCCTCGTTCCTGGCACAGAGGGCCTAAGACCTTTGGAATCTCTGCAGTGAGAGGAATGAATGTCTCTTCTGTGCTACTGAGATGCCTGGTGACTGGGAGCCGCTGAACAGCTTCAGGATAAGGGCTGGTCCCAGAAGGACCATGGCAGGACTAGGGGGTTGGAACTTTCAGCCCCACTCGAGGCAAATCTCCTCTGGGGAGAGGAGACAGGCTGGAGATTGGGTTAATTACCAGTGGTCAGTGATCTAATGAATCATGCCTATGTCATGAAAACTCCCTAAACATTCCTGAACACTGAGGTCTGGAGAGCTTCCAGGTTGGCAGACACACCCATGTGCTGAGAGGGCGGCACACCCTGACTCCGTGGGGACAGAAACTGCTGGGCTCAGGGCTCTTCCAGACCTAGCCCTGACTGTTCGTCTGTGTCCATGGCAATAATCTGGTAATAGTAAACAAGTGTTTTCTGGGTTTCTGTGAGCTGTTCTAGCCAATTTTTGAACTGAGAGAGGTGGGGATTCTAAGAGCCTCCTGACTTTGTAGCCAAGTCAGAGAGTAGTGTAGGTTCCCTGAGTACCTAAGACTTGTGACTGGCGTCTGCGGTGTAGACAGTCTTGTGGGACTGAGCCCCTGAACCTGTTGAGTCTGACGTTAGTTAGCGTCAGAACTGAATTGAATCATGGGACACTCAGCTGGTACTGGAGACCTGGCTGGTGTGGGAAGAAACCCCGTATTTGATGTGAGAAGTGTTTGAGGGAAAGCAGCTCAAGCCCATCCTTCATTCTCAGCAGGGTGGCTTTTTTTTTTTTTCCTTTGCTGTTCCAACATTTCATTTCTCATCTGGGTCCCAGTGGTCGTTTATTAAAAAGAGAAACCTTTTAACATAAAAATTGGCTCCAGATCTGAGCCACTCACTCCCTGTGAATGTCTCTGGGTTCCTCTTGGGCTGTCTGTTTAGACAGGTGATCCCAGCGAGTCTCCCAGCTTCAGAGGCTGAGAGGCTGTGATCCTCATCAAAGGCAGCACCTGCCACCATGTCCCCAAAGAGCCCCCATCTGCCTTGAATTCCACCCACAGTGGTACAGAATTGGCAGTGGGCACAGTTGGCTGCCATGGCTTCCCGGGGCTGGAAGGAGACAGTTTACTGCAGGGATTCTTTTTTTGTTTGTTCGAAACAGCATCTCACTCTGTCACCCAGGCTGGAGTGCAGTGGTGCAGTCTCAGCTCACTGCAACCTCTACCTCCCTGGTTCAAGCAATCCTGGTGCTTCAACCTCCCGAGTAGCTAGGATTACAGGCACGCGGCACCACATTCGGCTAATGTATTGTATTTTTAGTAGACATGAGGTTTTGCCATGTTGGCCAGGCTGATCTCAAACTACTAGCCTCAAGTGATTCACTCACCTTGGCCTCCCAAAGTGCTGGGATTACAGGCATGAGCCACAGTGCCTAGTTTACTACAGGAATTCTTATCCTAGGGCCTGTGGATCCCAACATGGTATGTACAATCTTTATTTTTAAGGTCTGCTTTTCTGAGGAAATCTGCTGTCCAATTTTCAAATGGGTCCTTGAGTACCCCCAAAGATTAAAAATTATTTCCAAGTGAAAAATAAAGAAAAACACTGTTACACTCCCTATTTTTTTTTTTTTTCTGAGTTAAATCAAGTATGGGAAATTCCAGTTACCCAGGGGCTTGGACCAGGGAGTCTTCTGGCTGCTTGAACATGGAGGTACCGCACACCATCCATGTGTAATCGCCTAGCGGGCTCTCCATGCCCACTGCCTAGACAGAGCTGAGTTATCAAGACGGGGAAATTGCAATCAAGAGTTTAATTCACGAAGAGCCGGCTGTACGGGAGTCTGGAGTTTTATTACTACTCAAACCAGTCTCCCTGAAAACTTGGGGATCTGGGTTTTTAAGGATAATTTGGTGGGTTGGGGATTGGAAAACGGGAAATGCTGATTGGTTGGGTAGAAGATGAAATTATTACTGGAAAGGCTTCCTGATCCAGATACCAAGAGAGGAAGGGTTCTTGGATCTCACACAAGAAAAAATTCAGGGCAAGTCCATCAAGTTGGCTACTTCAAAGGCATGAGTTGCTCAACTGAGTCTTATTTATTGATTATATGCTAAACAAGGGGTGGATTATATATGAGTTTTCCAGGAAAGAGGCAGGCAATTGCCCCTTTCCAGTAACAAGAACAGCTTGGAGGTGAGAAGCAAGATGGAATCAGTTAGGTCAGATTTCTTTTCTTGTCATAATTGTCAGGATTTTGCAAAGAAGGTTTCACCACATGGACATCGCTTTGGGAAGATCTACCATTTCTTTGAAGGTTGAGTTTGGGATGCGGTAGCCTTTGAGCACCCCTGTCCTGTTGCTATGTGTGTGTTCAAGGCACTCCAGGAAATCTGGAGACACAGAGCATCTGGTCCCCTCCCATTTTCCCTGGTGGGTCAGGCAGGAGGGTGACTGAGGAAATGTGTCCTTGGGATACTTCCTACCTTCCAGGCTGTGTGGAACTCAGCCCTTCCCCAGCCTGCAGAGGATGTGTCCCAGGGCCGGAGGCTGCCTGGGCCCTGCAGGGCAGATACTGGAGGTGAAAAGAGGAACTGGCCCCGGGGGGGATTTGCCAGCAGGCAAGGCGTCTGCCTCTGGGAGCCAGGAAGGCTGTACCACTTGCTAGCCAGCCAGAAGCGGCAAACGCCCCACCCTGTCCTGCCATGACCCACACTGTCCCCCCGCGGCTAAGAACAGAGTTGTTTTTTTGTTTGTGTGTGTGTTTTTGTTTGGTTGGTTGGTTTTTCTCATTTTTGAGACAGAGTCTCACTCTGTTGCCCAGGCTGAAGTGCAGTGGTGCCATCTCAGCTCACTGCAACCTCCCCCTCCCAGGTTCAAGAGATTCTCCTGCCTCAGCCTCCAGGGTAGCTGGGACTACAGGCAGGCACCACCACCCCCAGCTAATTTTTGTATTTTTAGTAGAGATGGGGTTTCACCATGTTGGCCAAGATGGTCTTAATCTCTTGACCTCGTGATCTGACCCTTGGCCTTCCAATGTCCTGGAATTGCAGGCATGAGCCCCCAAGCCCGGCTGTTTTTTGTTGTTGTTGTTTGTTTGCTTGTTTGTTTTGAGACAGAGTCTCATTCTGTTGCTTAGGCTGTAGTGCAGTGGCCTGATCTCAGCTCACTGCAACCTCTGCCTCCCGGATTCAAGCGATTCTCCTGCCTTAGCCTCCCAAAGAGCTGGGACCACAGGCGCCCACCACCATGCTGACTAATTGTTGTATCTTCAGTAGAGACAGCATTTCACCGTGTTGGCCAGGCTGGTCTCAAACTCCTGACCTCATGATCTGCCCTCCTCGGCCTCCCAAAGTGCTGGGATTACAGACCTGAGCATAGAGGTTTAATCAGACTTTTTTTCTTCTAAAGTCCTGTGAGACCAACCGCCTGAGGGATTAAGAATATCGAGGGATGGAAGGGAGAGTTAAAGAAGGGGCAGTTTTCCCCCTCCCAGCCTGTAAATACACATAGGCCTTTTCAACAAAAATCAGAAAAAGGGAAAGGGAGGCATGGAGGGAGGGGTCGCGGAAGGAAGGAGGAGAGCGTGGAGGGGGCGTAGAGGGAGGGAATGAGGGAGAAGAGGGACGGGGAGCGCGGAGGAAGGGGTGGGTGCACCCCCGCCGGCCTCCCTTCCTTCCCCGCTGCTCCTGCCTCTCGCACTAGCGCCCCGCACCTGTGGCGCCCTCGCCCCGCCCCGTCCAGCGGCCTCTTAGCGCCCCGCTCCGGTGAAGTCCTGGCCTCCGCTGGCCTCCGCCCGGCTGGCTTCCCCTCACTGCAGCCCCGGACTCGGAACCTCCTCTCCCCACCAGGGCCTGAGCGCGGCTGCCCTTTGCCTCCCCGACCTCCTGCTGCAGCTCCACGCCCCTCGGCCGCTCCCTCCCGTCTCCCCTGCTCACCTGTGGCCTCGGGGTCTCCTCAGGGTCTCCAGCGCGTCACCCCGCCCTTGGGCGTCCTGCAGCGCCTGCCTAGGTCGGCGAGCAGCCCCCACCTCCTGGCCGCCTCTCCAGGGCCGTCCTCCCGGGGTTGGGCCCCGCCGCAGGCCCCTGCTCTGGCACTTTCAGTGTGGCAGTCACTGCTGGGGGTCCTGGGACAGTGGAATGGGAGCCCTCACGCAGCGTCCCTCAGGCTCCTGGCCGCCGCGAGCCCACGCGACAAGCACAGAGCGGGTCCACCTACGGCGAGGGGCCGGTCTCTGCCACGGAGCCCGCCAGAGGGCAAAGCCCGAGACACAGCAAATACGGAGGCAGTCGGCACTTGGGGAGGTCGAGGCGGGAGGATCGCTGGAATCTAGGAGTTCGAGACCCGTCTTGGCAACAGAGTAAGACCCCCCCACCACCACCAACTCATCGCTACAATAAATTTAAAAATTAGCCGGTCATGGTGGCGCGCGCCTGTGTTCCCAGCGCTTTGGGGAGGCTGAGGTGGGAGAATCACCTGAGCCCGGGACGGTTGAGGCTGCAGTGAGCCGAGATCGCGCCACGGCACGCCAGCCTGGGTGACAGAGCCGAGACCTTGTCTCAAAGCAAAACTGAAGGAGGCAACGGTTTCCTTCTGGAACCACTGCAGAAAATCAAGAGTAGGGAGCAGGGATCTTGATTTCTTCGTACCCAGCTCTCAGTGCCCTTGCACCCCCAGCCCTAGAGCTGGGGGTGTTCCGGCACGGAAGGATAGGAGTTTGCGGGGTGCGTGAGCGCCTAGGCTGCCCGCGGGGCAAGGGAGCTGCAGAAGGAGGAGGCAGGGAGGCTGGTGTGGAGGGCCTGGGAGGCTGCACGTGCAGCGGGGCCCTGGGCTTTGTCCCGAGCAGTTCCCAGGAAAAAGCCAGGAAAAGCATCCCGAGGGGAGGGAGAGATATAAGATGGAGAACCAGTAGGAAGTGGCCAGGATTTTCCCACCTGGAGTCAAACCAAAGCAAACAAAGGAAAGTTGTTTGTCCAAAGTGATGTGCCCTTCAGCATCCTCACAGGTGCCTCGCTTCTGCCCCTGCCGGAGCTGCGGTTTGGAGGAAAGGCTGTGCTGTCCCAACGGGGGTTTTGTATATGCTGCGGAATTGGTCTCTCACGGTTCACAGAGCAGTCACACCTGCTTGGCCTCCTGGAAAGCCTTACTCTTTTTTTAATTAATTTTTTTTTCTTTTGGTAGAGATGGGGTCTCACTATGTGGGCCAGGCTAGTCTCAAACTCCTGGGCTCAAGTGTTCCTCCAGCCTCTGCCTCCCAAAGTGCTGGGATTACAGACATGAGTCACCCAGCCCAGCCAGCCTGACTTTTCAGAATGATGTCACATCCTTGTGGATCGTTGAAAATAAGATTGTTTTCCTCAGTCTCCTAGAAGCCCCAAAATAGCCATGCAGATGTCCAAGCAGTCCTGGTTTGATTACAAGGAGCATGTATAAAATAGCTAGGGGTGAATGGGGTCAGTGCAAATGGAAACTGGTGAGGGAGGCTGGGGACTGTTGGAGGTCTGCAGGAGAGAGTGCATAATTAACACACACCCATGGCCTCTCCTGATATGCCAGGGTGTCCTCCCACACAGGCAGAAAGTGCTCTGCAGAACAAAGTGCCTTTGGTCTACAAAATGTCTCCCAGCTCTTGTCTGCAAAGGGAAGAAAGGACAGCTGAGGATCATTAAGCAGAATGCCGAGAGATTTATGGAAACTCCCTCTGATAGCTCAATCTAATTGCAGCGTCTTCCAGTGTGCGGAATGCTGCTAATGGACAGCCGTTCCTGCCAGCTCTGATGATGCTAGGCCTCCTCAGCACTCAGCCCAGGGCAGCCAGGAAAAGTGAATGAATGGTGATTCAGAGGGACAGGAGGAAGTTGCGTGGCATTTCAGAGATACTTATTTTAAAACCGCTGGTGGCCATGTCTTCTTTTCCTATCTGAGCTAATAATGAGTTTTGATATGTGAACATTTCTTCTCCTTCATAGGTAATGTGTTGATGTGGCACTTTAATCTTAGAATAATCGTTTCTAAAACCAACCCAAGTGCTTTTCTCTATAGCGTTGGCCTTAGCAAACAGATGAATCCGTTGACTTGAACGCTGCTTGGGCACTGTCTGTGTGCAGGTCAGACAGGGGATGTGGCCAGTGGCTGGGAAGCAGAGGATGGAGGTGTCTAGGGTGCACATGGCGGGGGGCTCAACTCCGCAGGGGGTCGGCCCCTAGTCTCAGTCAGGGAGGGCTTCATGGAGGAAGGGAGAGTTGAGTGAGAAAGCTGTTCCCAGGTAAGAGGGAAGAGCATCCAGGGAGAGGGGGCTGCTTTTGGGAAAACCAGAGTCATCACCTCATGGGCTTGTAAGGTAGTTGGGAGGAAGAGAGACCCCAGGGAAAATAAGAGGTTCCATTGACAGGAGGCCTGCTGGGGGTGGGGGCGGGGGAGGCAGGCTGGCAGTGGAGCAATGGCTGCGGGCCCAGGGGCGCTGCCTGACCAACAGGTGTGTCGGCCAGGATCCCTGTAGCAAAAACGGGGCTGAGGACCTCATGGCAGATGAACAGTTCCCTGGAGAAATGAGTAGGTAGCAGCTACAGGGGCAGCTTCCAGGGAGGAGGGGGATGCCAGGCCAGAGGATGGGCTTCATGGGAGGGTGCTGCCATCCGGTCACCCTTCAGGGACCACGTGAGGGGGGAGCCGGCGTGGCATGGAAACAGCCGCCTTGCCCTCTTGCTCTCAGCCTCCTGTAGCTACCCTCACTCCCCGCCCTGCCACACAAGGTCACACCCACCTGGAGTCAGAAGGTGAGGGGCGAGGTCCCAGGGTGAGGAGCAGGGATGGTGCTGCCTGCTGCAGAGTGAGACCTGGGACTGGCAAACACAAAGCGACCGGAGGGAGCATTCCAGGAGCTAAGGAGGCCTGTAGAGGGAGGAGGACGGCGGCTGGCAGTGACAGGAAAGGAGGGCCAGCATGGGGTGGCATTCCCGAGCTTGGGGCTCCCTGCCAGGCCAGCCTGTGTGGCCTGGGGGGTGGAGGTGGCAATTGCTGCCATGTCATAAACACTTGAAGCTCATGCTGAAATCTTCAGTGTGTGGCTAGGGAGCAAATACATGTGCAGGTGTCTGAGATCTGTGCCCTTACCTAACCTCAGGGAGAAGGAAAAGGAAAGCTCATCATGTAAGCACATCACCAGTAGCCTGTGTGTCTCCACACTGGAACCCCTAAGACAGAGGCTGGAGGCAGAGTTGATTTCCAAGCCCAGAGTGCTGGGCTGCCTTTGGGTTTTACGTCTGCTTGCTTGGAGCTCAGTGATAGAAATCTCACCCCCAGAAAAGAAAGGGACTGTCTTGCATAACTGGCATACCCGAGGAATGCTTCAGGCACAGCTAGATCCAGGCATCCTCAAATAGTGTGATGAGGACTCTGGTTTCCTTTTTTACCCTGGCTTGGCTCTGCCCTGCTCTGTGTTGTTTTTAGACAGGGTCGAGCCCCAGCAGCTCTGGTCCCCTCGACATGATCCCAGAGAAGCGCCAGCCCTTCCTTCCTGGGGTCTACGCCGTCCCCTACGGGACCTCAGACTGGCCTGAGGAAAGGTCTCAAGCAGGTCATGTGAAGGGCATTGCACAGGAAACAGAAGCAAGGGAATCCTGTAAGGTCAGCAGAGCTCTGACTCCTTTACCTTCTCAGGAAGCCTCAGCTGCAGAGGAGCAGAAGGAAGATCCACAGATGAGGAGGAGGAGACGTTAGAGGAAGGGCAGGAGTGCAGAATGGGCCTGCCAGGGAGGGAGGGGGAGAGCGAGAAGCCAGCCCTGCCCACACCCCCCACCCACACCCTGGCCCCTTCCCAGCAGAACTGGTGACACTTTTTTTCTTCCCAGTGCCTTTCAAATTTCCAGAGCATCTCAGGATTGCTCAGTAGATAACCAGTTTGGGGTTTTTATCCTTTCCTTCCTAATGACAAGGCTCCTGAGAACCGGAGCGGCTGCCATCTGTAGGGTATTCATCATCCTCCTGCATCGGGGAAATGAGTCATTTTAGCAAAAAATGTAGAACTTCCATGAAATTCAAATTGCAGCACGTTGACAAGAATTATAATGTTTGCAGAGAGTCTCATCTAGAAGGCTGAAGTGGTCACCCGAGAGAAATGGCTGCTGTTGCCAGCGGGGTCTGACCACCTCACCTAGGGCGGACAAAGCTGAGGTTGCCTCTTGTTTTCCTCTCTTTTGGTTCCTGAACATTAAATAAGACGGAGAAAGCAGGAAGGTGGGGAGAGAGCACCCCTGCAAATAAGATTCACCATCCAAGAGAGTTATCAGCTGAGTAGGCAGAATTCTTGCCAATTTAGTTGACTGTGCAATTTAGTTTCCAGGGCCTTCTGGAAATAGGGTATTTTTTCTTTTTTTTCTTTTTTTGAGATGAAATCTCTCTCTTGTCCCCCAGGCTGGAGTGCAATGGCGCAATGTCAACTGACTGCAACCCCCACCTCCTGGGTTCCAGTGATTCTCCTGCCTCAGCCTCCCAAGTAGCTGGGATTACAGGCACGTGCCACCACGCCTGGCTAATTTTTGTATGTTTAGTAGAAACGGGGTTTCACCGTGTTAGCCAGGGTGGTCTCGAACTCCTGACCTCAGGTGATCCTCCTACATCGGCCTCCCAAAGTACTGGGATTACAGGCGTGAGCCACCGCACCTGGACGAAACAGGATATTTTCTTAAAGGGGCCACCAATGATACCCTTTGGTCATTCCAAAATGACCTATCTGGGCCTGAAGCCCCTGGTCAGTCTAGTTCCTAATCCAGAGAAACAAATGCCGTGGCGGCAGGAGGGAATAGCCGTTCCAGGTAATAGCAGTTGTTCAAATAATAGCAAAGGCAAATAGGAAATGTGTTGCCAAGCTGCCAACAATTGCCCTAAACACAAAGTTTGCCTCTAAGCTCTTGTAAGCCGTTGGTTGTACTGAAAAGCTCTAAGTTCTTTGTGCAAAGCCTGGAGAAGGCGGCGATGGGGCCACGTGCCGGCCTTTTCTCAGAGCATGGGAAATGAGAGGGTCATCCCTTTAGGTGGCAGGATGGCTCAGAGCCTCTGTGCCCACAGCCACCAGAACAAGCTCCCCTTGGGGTCATGGACGCAGTATCTCAGTTGAGTACATGGTCACTTTCACCAAGGCTGGCTGGCATTGTGTGACTTCCCCAGATGCTGCACTCGAGTTGGAATGATGTAGTGGTTGTGCACACAAGTGCCCCAGGCCCTTGGGCAGCTGGGAGAATGGGCTGGGGCTTCCTTGTTGGGAGGGAGCCACCCTGCACCTGTGGGTGGGTCCTGTCCCATCAGCCTGGCAGGCAGGCGTAGCTTGTGGCAGGGTGAGCCCCTGGCACAGACCTGCTCGTTTCCCCAGGTGAAAGTTTCTATGTGGCCAAGGGTCACCAGGAAGTGACAGCCTACCCTGAGCAAACCTGAGCTCAGGGTTCATGTTGCCCCAGCAGAACGTGCAGATGTGCTCTGCAGGGAGCGTTTTTCTTGGTTGGCTGACACTCTCTGGAAGGGGGTGTGGGCTAGGCCAGTGTGCTCAGCAGCACCCCAGAGCACTGCTCAGGCTGTCCCGGCAGGGACTCCAGTGTGGGGTGAGCATGCTCCCGCCAGGACTGAACCCACACTTCCTGGCCCTCTTTTCCTGCTCCCAGGTGGGGCTGTTGTTGGGGAGGGAAGAGCGGGGAGGACAGCATAGGAGGCTTTTTCAGGGCTGGGCCTGGGAATGGGCCACAGTGAGGGGCAGCACGGATCACCTGGCCCCACTAAGGGCCAGGAGTGAGAGGGATGTCCAGCTGTGCCCTCCTGGGAGGAAGGTGTGCTCTGCCATGCAGCGCCCCAGGTTTTTAGGCAGCTGTAGGCATGGGCTAGGGCTTCCTTGTGGGGAGGGAGCCCCCTGCAACTGTGGGTGAGTCCTGTCCCATCAGCCTGGCAGGCAGGTGTGGCCTTGGAGGAAGGCATGCTCTGCCATGTGGTGTCACCACCAGCTGGTAACTGTTGGGGAATTTACTGAAACAAATGAAAGAGCCCCACCCCCCCACAACAATCACCTGCCTTTGGGGACGCTGAGCCTGGCCCCAAAACCTGATCGTCCTCTCCTGGCCTCACACCAAATGGAAATGCATTGCTTCTCCAAATTGCAACCAAGACGACCGAGGAGAAGTTGACCTGCAGTGGGCACACACGTGGCAAAGAGGAGCTGAAGACACTCGGGGGCTGTGCCTGCAAAGGTGGCGGCTTGGTTTCAGTTTTCAAAGCAATGGCCACTTCCCTGTATCAACCTGCTTGCCAAATGTGCCAGGCTTTGCTGCTCTCAGCTCCTAGCCTCTGCAGATTGTGGCCTCAAACTTCCTTTTAAAGAACATCACTGACGCTTCTGGCCTCACTTCTTCCAAGAGGCAACTACAGACACTCTCTCGGGGGCCTGGCTGCCTGTTTCTAGGGTCTGGGCCACGGGCTTGGGTTTGCTCTGCTTCAACAATGCCATGTTACCCTGAAGGGCCTCACCCATGCCAGGGCCCACCAGTGGCTGGGGGAAAGGCTAGGCTTCATGACCCTGATTCTGCAGATGGCATTTTTAGTAACTGCTAGGAACTGATAGAACAAAGCCACTGACACAGGGATGACATGCTTACCAGCACCTCCCGAGAGCAGGCCTGTTGTAAACACTTGACCTGTGACAGCTCATCCATGCCACGCAGCTGCTCCATGAAGTAGACGCTGTCATCATGGTCTCTGCCATTCTACAATAGGAACACTGGGTGGAGAGGAGTGACTGTGCTGGAGCATGTGTGGAGGAGGGGAGGGGAAAGGAGGGCTGGAGCATGCTTGGGGGAAGGGAGGGGGAGGGAGGGCTGGAGCATGCGTGGGGGAAGGGAGGGGGAGGGAGGGCTGGAGCATGCGTGGAGGAGGGGAGGGGGAGGGAGGGTGTGAGCTGGTGGTCCAGCACTGCATTGCCCTGCTCCACTTTCCTCCAAGGCTTGGGTCTGCGAGAGCTGCAGCCCTCCCTCTCTGGGATGGTCACAGCCTGGTCCTGTGAGTGGTGGTCTGTGGATACCTCCTGCTCCTGAGAGAGCCCAGCCCTTCATGAGGAGTCAGGGAATGGATCCACCATGCCAGCCCAGCTGTGTGGTGCCAGGGGCCTGTCTTTCTAGAAGGTGGGAGTGTGGGCACAGGCTGACTGCCCAGCCTACAGAGTTGCCTCCTCAACTGTACCCTGGAGTAGGGAGAGAGGAGCCCAGGGCACTCATAGGCCCCAGGCCCCTTGGCTCCCTGCCATCCTCATGGTGATCTGTCCTTGCATCCACTGGGAAACTCAAGTGAGCAGGCCTTGGAGTATTTCTACCCATTTTTCCTTCATGGCCCCTGAGTGTATTCTTGGGGAAACTGAAGCTGGTAAGGCTGTAGAACTCATCACCCACAGCAAGGGCCAGAGGGTACATGTCAAGGGGAAGACCAGGCTCTTCCAGGCTCATGATCCCAGCCCATGGCTGCAGAGGCAGAGACTCTCCACTTAGGTGGACACTGATGGGTCCTGTTGCCACTGCGAGATACATCCTCCTCCCAACTCCAGCTGGGAACTGCCCTGGGACTGGGAAGTTGTATTTTAAGTCTTGCCCTGCCTCGGTCTTCCCCCAGGAATCCTGCTGGCTATGACAGGAGGCACACGTGTGGCTCTTTTGTGCTTCTGATTGGCATCATAAGAGCACTGGCTGGGAGTTGGGGGATCCTGGTGTCTGCCCTGGCTCTACTCAGCTCTGTGTGTGTGTCAGCCAATGGGATGCTCTGTGCCCCAGTTTCTCATCTTATTTATTTTTTGAGATAGGGACTCGACTCGCTCTGTTGCCCAGGCTGGAGTGCAGTGGCATGATCAAGGCTCACTGCACCCTCGACCTGCTGGGCTCAATCCATGATCCCGCCTCAGCCTCCTGAGTAGCTGGGACTACAGGCGTGTGCCAACTTACCTGCCTAATTAAAATTTTTTAGTGGGGGGGGCCGGACGCAGTGGCTCATGCCTGTAATTCTAGCACTTTGGGAAGCTGAGGTAGGTGTATCACTTGAGGTCAGGAGTTCAAAACTAGCCTGGCCAACATGGTGAAACCCTGTCTCTACTAAAAATATTTTTAAAAATTAGCCGGGTGTGGTGACAAGCGCCTGTAATCCCAACTACTTGGGAGGCCGAGGCAGGAGGGTTGCTTGAACCTGGGAGGCAGAGGTTGCAGTGAGCTGAGATTGCACCATTGCACTCCAGGCTGGACAACAAGAACGAAACTTCATCTCAAAAAAAATTTTTTTTTTTTTTTATTGACAGGGTCTCTCTATGTTGTGCTGGTCTTGAACCCCTGGGCTCAATCAATCCTCCCACCTCAGCCTACCAAAAAGTTTCTCATCTTTAAATGGACTCTGACACTGGCCTGAGATCTCAAACTGGCATTGCATGAACTGGACCCCATGGGAACCTGCTTTTCCAAAGGAAGTCAGAGGAAGGAAGTCAGAGGTAGGTGCTTCCCCCAGCTCTTGGCCCCGCCTCTTCCTGTGGTTTGCAGCCCCTGGCACCCACAGCGCCTCCTACGACCCCACGTTCCCTGCCAAGGGTTGCCGCATTGTGTGCTGACCATTGGAACCTTCCCTGGCCAGGTCAGGGTCCTGTCACCACATTGTCTGGAGGATAGCAGGTGCTCCTGAAGCATTTCTGAATTCGACCATATGTGAAATGTACACCAAACGGTTTTTAATAACCTATTGCTCCTGGAGTAATTGAATTCACTGCCGTTGAACCTACCCTGGGCCTGAGGAACTGGCTCAGACGAGACTGAAGGAGACTGAAGGCACATGGCACCTGTAAGCAACATGGACCCTGCAGTGGATCTTATGGAGGGGAAGTGCTAGACAGGGTGTCCGTGGGCCAAACGACTAACTGGGGTATGAGCAGACAGATGCATGCATGCATGTTACACTTCCTAAGGCCGGAGTTGGAACGGCAGAGTACGGAGCTTAGCAAATCCGCTCCCTAAAAGGTATCATCAGCAAAACAGGATAAAATGGTCAAAACCACCATTCCAGGACTGGAAAACAGCCAAAAGCATATAGCACTTTGAGACATGTTTGCTTAAGAAAAAATACCCTGGTGTCAGAAATGGCATTTTTGCCCAGGCTTTTTCTAGCCCCACTTACCCTCAACCCCCAACCCCCATTCTGGAAATCTGCTAGGCAGGGGAAGCCATGGGGCCCCGCAGCTTTACTGCCTGCTGGGGCTGGCTGGATTTGAAGCGGATGTAGTGGCAATCTTGGGAAAGGCCAATGGGTCGCTAGCCTCAGGTCATAATAGGAGTTGGGCAAACATCAGACCAATAGACTAGTCAGAAATTTGCGAGATTTGGAGAATGAGAACCATAGTGGGCCTTGATAAGTGCCCACATGTCCATGGCAGTCTGGAAGACCAGGTGTATGTGCAGGGCTGTGCAGAACACCCAGGAGAAACTGCAGAGTCCTAGCTAGCTATAGACTCAGCCCTGTATCTGTGGATTCAACCAGCTATAGATTGAAAATAGTAAAAAAGTGGACAGGGAAGGTGACTCATGCCTATAGTCTCAGCATTTTGGGAGGCCAAGGTGACCGGATTACTTGAGCCCAGTAGTCAAGACCAGGCTGGCTAGCATGGTGAAACCCTGTCTCTACATAAAATATAAAAATTAGCTGGGCATGGTGGCATGCACGTGTAGTCCCAGTTACTTGGGAGGCTGACGTGGGAGAATCACTTGAGCCTGGGAAGGGGATGTTGCAGCAAGCTGAGATGGTGCCACTGCACTCCAGCCTGGGTGACAGAATGACACTCTGTCTCAAAAAAACAAAAAAATAGTAATAATACAGTTGTGGGGGAGCATAAGAAATGGGAAAGGTTAATGGGTACACAAATAGTTAGATACAATGAATAAGCTCTAGTATTTGATAGCACCACAGGGTGACCACAGTCAGCAGTAATTAGTTGTACATTGTAGAATAACTGAGGAGCGTAACTGGAATGTTTACAACATGAAGAAACAATGAATGCTTGAGGTGATGGATATCCCATTTACCCTGATGTGATTATTACATATTACACACCTGTATCAAAATAGCTCATGTACTCCACAAATATATACACCTACTAAACACCTATAAGAATAAAAATGTAAACACAGAAGACAGTGTGACAACTATTTATAAAGCACTTGCACTGTGTTAGGTGTAGGTAGCACAGTGGTGACCTGACATCTGTGAGAGGACTGCACAGGTTATACACAAGTACTGTTCGATTTTCTATAAGGAAACTGGCTATCTGTGAGTTTCAATATCTCTGGAACCAAATTTTGGGTTCTGGAACAAATCTCCTGTGGCAACCAAGGGTTGACTATACTGTATACTGTATATCTCTGGCTGAACGTGAGGCCTTGTGCCTGTCCAGGGAAGATGTGAAACCTGACAAAATGGGAAAGCTGGGGCACATTTGTGCACTGCCTGAACTCTAAATGCATTCCCTAAACCACACACAGATCCACTGGCAAAGCGTGGAAGCCTTACTGGTTAAAGGTGTTTAAGTACATTTGACCAATCATTGGCTGACCACATACGCTAAGCCACAGGCAACTACTAAGACGCTGGACTTAAAAATAAAAATGGCGAGGCATGGTGGCTCACGCTTGTAATCCCAGCCTTTGGGAGGCTAAGGTGGGTGGATAACCTGAGGTCAGGAGTTCAAGACCAGCCTAATATGGTAAAACTTCGTCTCTACTAAAAAACAAAATTAACTGGCCGTGGTGGTGCATGCCTGTAATCCTAGCTACTCAGGAGGCTGAGGCAGGAGAATTGCTTGAACCCAGGAGGTTGCAGTGAGCCAAGATCATGCCATTGCACTCCAGCCTGGGCAACAAAAGTGAAACTCCATCTCAAAAAAAAAAAAAAAAGAAAGAAAAGAAACAGAAAATAACAATAAAAACCTTAAACTGAGCAGAAACATCAGTGGCTGCATGCTGAGGGTGAGACAGTGAGACAGATTCTGTCGGAGTTCTTCAGTGAAGTCATGAAAACAAAAATACAGCAACAGTCCCTTGGGGGTAAGGGGAAGGAGCAGGATCCAGAGTTGCTACAGTATTACCTCAAGTGTCCAGTTTTTAAAATTATGAGACATGCAAAGAAACAGGAAAGTGTGATCCCTGTTTGGCTGGTGAGTGGGGAGGAAACTATCAATAGACATTGTCTGATGGGGCCCAGATGTTTGAATTTAGTAGACAAAGATTTCAAAGCAGCTTTGATAAAATTAAGACCTAAAGGAAACCATTTTTTATTTGACACTTTTTTTTGGAGTGACACAGTCTCACTCTGTCAACCAGGCTGGAGTGCAGTGGCACAATCTCGGCTCACTGCAACCTCCACCTCTCAGGTTCTTGATTCTCGTGCCTCAGCCTCCTGAGTAGCTGGGACTACAGGTACATAGCACCATGCCCGGCTAATTTTTTTTGTAAATTTAGTAAAGATGGCCAAGCTGGTCTTGAACACCTGAGAGGTGATCCACCTGCCCAAAGTGCTGGGATTACAGGTGTGAGCCTCTGTGCCCTTTTTTAAGAAACTAAAGTATGAGAGCAATGACTCATCAAATACAGACTATCAATAAACAGGGATTGTAAAAAAATCAAATGGAAATTATAGAGTTGAAAAGTACAATAACAAATATTTACTAGAGGGATTTAATAGATTTGATTTGGCAGGAGAAAGAATCAGTGAACTTGAAAGCAGATTAATAAAACCCATCCAAATTAAAGAAAGAAAAGAAAATGAACA